AAAATACATAGTCCTTGTGATGATCAATATGAAACATGGCATACTAAATACACAGTCCTGGTGATGATCAATATGAAACATGGCATACTAAAAACGTAGTCCTTGTGATGATCAATATGAAACATGGCATACTAGATACACAGTCCTTTTGTGATGATCAATATGAAACATGGCATACTAGATACAGTCCTGGTGATGATCAATATGAAACATGGCATACTAGATACAGTCCTGGTGATGATCAATATGAAACATGGCATTGTTAAATACATGGTCCTGGTGATGATCAATATGAAACATGGCATACTAAATACACAGTCCTGGTGATGATCAATATGAAACATGGCATACTAGATACACAGTCCTTTTGTGATGATCAATATGAAACATGGCATACTAGATACAGCCCTGGTGATGATCAATATGAAACATGGCATACTAGATACACAGTCCTGGTGATGATCAATATGAAACATGGCATTGTTAAATACATAGTCCTGGTGATGATCAATATGAAACATGGCATACTAAATACACAGTCCTGGTGATGATCAATATGAAAAATGGCATACTAGATACACAGTCCTGGTGATGATCAATATGAAACATGGCATACTAAATACACAGTCCTGGTGAAAATCAATATGAAACATGACATACTAGATACACAGTCCTGGTGATGATCAATATGAAACATGACATTGTTAAATACACAGTCCTGGTGATGATCAAAATGAAACATGGCATTGTTAAATACATAGTCATGGAGATGATCAAAATGAAACATGGCATTGTTAAATACACAGTCCTGGTGATGATCAAAATGAAACATGGCATACTAGATACACAGTCCTGTTGATGATCAATATGAAACATGGCACGCTAGATACACAGTCCTGGTGATGATCAATATGAAACATGGCATTGTTAAATACATAGTCCTGGAGATGATCAAATAGAAACATGGCATACTAAATACACAGTCCTGGTGATGATCAATATGAAACATGGCATACTAAATACACAGTCCTGGTGATGATCAATATGAAACATTGCATACTAGATACACTGTTCTGGTGATGATCAAATAGAAACATGGCATACTAAATACACAGTCCTGGTGATGATCAAAATGAAACATGTTATTGTTGAATACATAGTCCTGGTGATGATGAATATGAAACATGGCATACTAGATACACAGCCCTTTTGTGATGATCAATATGAAACATGGCATACTAGATACACACTACTGGTGATGATCAATATGAAACATGGCATACTAGAAACACAGTACTGGTGATAATCAATATGAAACATGGCATACTAGATACACAGTCCTGGTGATGATCAATATGAAACATGACATTGTTAAATACACAGTCCTGTTGATGATCAAAATGAAACATGGCATTGTTAAATACGTAGTCCTGGTGATGATCAATATGAAACATGGCATACTAAATACACAGTCCTGGTGATGATCAATATGAAACGTGGCATACTAGATACACAGTCCTGGTGACGATCAATATGAAACATGCTCCAAAACGTTTTCTGATGATATCCGTGTGTCTTTCTGTTGTCGAAGACTCACACAGATATATTGTTTCTTGAGTCATTTCTATTTAATAGTCTTTAAAGTTCAGTCATCAACATTTTTTTAATAATGATAGTGTATAGTGTACAAGGAAAACAGTTTTATTTCTCTTCTTTGTAAATGGCAGAGTAGCAAGTGATCTCGCCGTGGCAAATGTCATCTAGGTTTCCCTGTGGGAATATCGATCAACGATCTAACATCTCGATGAATCTGGTTCCAGTACTTACTTTGCTCCTTCCTGATGGGCATATGATTATGGAAACTGCGTTAAGAAATCCCGTTAGCTATAAACAAAGCGTTTGCAAACCCATAGGACCCCGGATCACGCATTCGCAGTAATTGATTTAGTGGCGAACTGGAGGGAATCCGTTTCAAATGTCCATGACATAGATCTGTGATCGAGCCACTGCTGACGACCAATGGTTGTTCGGACTCTGGAAGAGCGTGTCCCTGTAAACTACTTATCGTGTTTCATCGGACAAATTAGTTTCTCTTCAGACGGATGCCATTAGAAAATAATTTTACAATATTATATTTCAAATGTCGTTAACTTCATCTTGACTCTTATAATAAAGGTTCTTTTGCTGGAATATCCACATCGCCCTTTAATCTATGATAAGCTGCGAGCGATGATCAAAATTAATTTGTTGATATTGAAAAGAAATAACTGCATTTGTAACTTTAACACTCCAGAAAAAAAACATATAGTTTAATGGAGAAACTAGTTAATGATGTTTGGTTCGATAACGAGCTCCGAGCTTAATAACTTGTCGGGTAAATAATATTGTCCAGGACTACTTTTCATCAAACAATATTTTCTAATTGTCGGAGATGTATGAACAGTTCGTAGTTCAAGGTTCGTGTTTCTCATTCAGTTTCCAACTGTCAGCTGATAATTCAATCAATCAACCATATTCAAGATAGATTGGCATCTCAGCGTATTTATGAACGTCTGTGAAGTCTCTCAAATGTTTTATCTTCGTAACAAATTACAGAATCATAGCGAGCTTACGCGTATATGGGTTTGAGCTTTAGGCGAGTGAGGCGTTGGTTATCATTGGGCGACATTGTATTGTGTGAAGTGCCTGCCACTTCCCTGCACTCACCGGGTCTGGTGGTTTCACGTGATGTATTTCGGCATAAACTCTCGTGTGTGGCAGGGAGGATTGAGAAGATACGAAGTATAATGAAAACAAACAGCGAAAACCAGCAGGTCGATACTGGCATTCAGAACAAGCGTCTCACGTTTGTGCTGTTTAAGGACGGAAACTACCCCTCCAGCTACATAGCATATATACATACATGTATAAGGGGTGTCGTTCTTGCATTTCATAGTTCCCTCTTGTTGAAATGCATACTTCTTGTTTGCGCCATGTGTACGTCCTGTTTACCACTGTATACATAACGCCGGACATGTCCTGGCAAATTTCAGAACAACTGTGAATTTCTCAAATATTCAAAGTGGTACTAATCAAACCATTGGACAAGAAGCTTTCTATTTTGACTATCAATGGGCGTCATATGTCACTGAGTAATAAATATGTGAATATACTTTTACGCCGTTTTTAGCAGAATTCTAACGAGGGACGTCATGTGGGTGGTTCCACACAATGTACTCATGTTGGAGTCGCACTTGGGTTCCATAAAACGGTGAAAGAAAGCCCTTGTCTGTCGGAAACCGACTGTTATGTCACTACTTGTAAGCAGTTAATGATATTTACAGAGCAAATAATGGTTTTGTGCTCTATGACATGGCCTTCAATTAATGTGCAAACAGCGGGGATAGAACCGGGACACAGACATGGTCGTACCAGCAGTCAATGGCGATATCCTATTGCAAGAGCCGGGACACCGATCTCATTGCTCATTCTCCAGTAAATATATCTGCAGCCATCTGCAACCGACGTACTCCTGCATTCATGCTGATAGGTAACCTGAACCATTCTAGGTTGGAATATCTAGTTCCAATGATCACATCACGAGTCAGAAAAGTCGATTTTACGACAAGTTTGAATGGCATTGACGTCCAGCACACACACCCCCCCCCCCCCCCCCCCCGCCCCCCTCCCCCACACACACCTCATCTGTGACAGCAGTAACCCTGCATCTGTGACAGCAGTAACCCCGCTTCTGTGACAGCAGTAACCCCGCTTCTGTGACAGCAGTAACCCTGCATCTGTGACAGCAGTAACCCCGCTTCTGTGACAGCAGTAACCCCGCTTCTGTGACAGCAGTAACCCTGCTTCTGTGACATCAGTAACCCTACATCTGTGACAGCAGTAACCCTGCATCTGTGACAGCAGTAACCCCGCTTCTGTGACAGCAGTAACCCTGCTTCTGTGACAGCAGTAACCCTGCTTCTGTGACATCAGTAACCCCGCTTCTGTGACAGCAGTAACCCTGCTTCTGTGACAGCAGTAACCCTACATCTGTGACAGCAGTAACCCTGCATCTGTGACAGCAGTAACCCCGCTTCTGTGACAGCAGTAACCCCGCTTCTGTGACAGCAGTAACCCCGCTTCTGTGACAGCAGTAACCCCGCTTCTGTGACATCAGTAACCCCGCTTCTGTGACAGCAGTAACCCCGCTTCTGTGACAGCAGTAACCCTGCTTCTGTGACAGCAGTAACCCTACATCTGTGACAGCAGTAACCCTACATCTGTGACATCAGTAACCCCGCATCTGTGACAGCAGTAACCCTACATCTGTGACAGCAGTAACCCTACATCTGTGACAGCAGTAACCCTGCATCTGTGACAGCAGTAACCCTGCATCTGTGACATCAGTAACCCCGCATCTGTGACAGCAGTAACCCTGCATCTGTGACATCAATGCCTATACATCTGTGACAGCAGTAACCCTGAATCTATGACAGCAGTAACCCTGCATCTGTGACATCAATGCCTATACATCTGTGACAGCAGTAACCCTACATCTGTGACATCAATGCCTATACATCTGTGACAACAGTAACCCTGCATCTGTGACATCAATGCCTATACATCTGTGACAGCAGTAACCCTGCATCTGTGACAGCAGTTACCCTATATCTGTGACATCAATGCCTATACATCTGTGACAGCAGTAACCCTGCATCTGTGACAGCATTAACCCTACATCTGTGACATCAATGCCTATACATCTGTGACAGCAGTAACCCTGCATCTGTGACATCAATGCCTATACATCTGTGACAGCAGTAACCCTACATCTGTGACATCAATGCCTATACATCTGTGACAGCAGTAACCCTGCATCTGTGACATCAATGCCTATACATCTGTGACAGCAGTAACCCTACATCTGTGACATCAATGCCTATACATCTGTGAAAGCAGTAACCCTGCATCTGTGACAACAGTAACCCTGCATCTGTGAAAGTAGTGCCTAGTGCTGATGTTTAGACGGTGGACTGTGAGGTGGGCGGACAGGGTAGCCGGGTTGGCCGGGGACTGATGATGGGACGGTGGACTGTGAGGTGGGGGACGGGGTAGCCGGGTTGGTCGGGGACAGATGATGGGACGATGACTTGTGAGGTGGGCGGACGGGGGTAGCCGATCTGATGATGGGACGGTGGACTGTGAGGTGGGCGGACGGGGTAGTCAGGTTGGTCGGGGACTGATGATGGGACGGTGGACTGTGAGGTGGGCGGACGGGGGTAGCCGATCTGATGATGGGACGGTGGACTGTGAGGTGGGCGGACGGAGGTAGCCGGGTTGGTCGGGGACTGATGATGGGACGGTGGACCGTGAGGTGGGCGGACGGGGTAGCCAGGTTGGTCGGGGACTGATGATTGGACGGTGGACCGTGAGGTGGGCGGACGGGGTAGCCAGGTTGGTCGGGGACTGATGATTGGACGGTGGACCGTGAGGTGGGCGGACTGGGTAGCCAGGTTGGTCGGGGACTGATGATGGGACGGTGGACCGTGAGGTGGGCGGACGGGGTTAGCCGGGCTAGTCGGGGACTGATGATGGGACGGTGGACCGTGAGGTGGGCGGACGGGGGTAGCCGGGCTGGCCGGGGCCTGATGATTGGACGGTGGACCGTGAGGTGGGCGGACGGGGGTAGCCGGGCTGGCCGGGGCCTGATGATGGGACGGTGGACTGTGAGGTGGGCGTGACGGGGTTAGCCGGGTTGGCCGGGGACTGACGGTCGGACGGTGGACTGTGAGGTGGGCGTGACGGGGTAGCCGGGTTGGTCGGGGACTGATGATTGGACGGTGGACCGTGAGGTGGGCGGACGGGGGTAGCCGGTCGGGGAAGCAAGGGGGAAGACTTTTATCCTGTTCCGCATGAAAACACTATTTGCAAAATTATGTTGCATCTCTGACTTTGTTTGAAGCACGCTTTGGATGTAAGATTCTCAGTTACCAGGAAGTTCAAGTTATTTGATTGTTCAATAAACCGTTTTCCAGTGAGTATGGGGACACTGTGTGATTAATGATTCACATGAGGGTAATATGTTTTGCTGACAGTGAAAAACTCATCACCGTTACAATGTCTCACAAATGACGTCACAGGTTGATATTTGATTTTAAAATAAAATCACAGATTGTTATCGGTGCGCACGTGCATCATCTGGGATACCTCCTGATTCTGAGTCAGACATACAGCGCCATTGGGAAAGCGAGGCCACAGAAACAACCGGTAGATGTCTTGCTGATCGGCCAACTAAAGAGACAATAATTATTAGTATTTATGTATGTGGATGAACCCAGGGGTCTAATTAATATAATGCATTACTTTTAGTGGTCATGATAATGAAGCCAGTATCAAAGCCAAACATCTGCCACGTGAGACCGCGGCATCACAATTAATAATGAAATATTGTCTTAAACTGGAGTCTACGCGGTCTGGAATTAATCTGTTGTTTCATGATAGGTCATAAAATGTCTTCAAAGGAAGCTGGGGTATCAGGTTTCCCAGCAGGCCGTGATATACGCAACAGCGATGACAGCGCCACATTAATACGATGGTAACTAGACGTCCACGACTGAGAGGGACACACCTGCGGTAAAACCGTCATGGCGACCATTGACTGTAGTGTGTCTGTGTGTTGTCTGTAGTCTGTAGTACTACTGTGTACGTGTAGTCTGTAGTGCATCTGTGTGTAGTCTGTAGTGTGTGTTTGTCGAATCTGTAGTGTGTCTGTGTGTAGTCTGTAGTGTGTGTTTGTCGAATCTGTAGTGTGTCTGTGTGTAGTCTGTAGTGTGTCTGTCTGTAGTCTGTAGTGTGTTTGTAGTGTCTGTGTGGAGTCTACAGTGTGTCTGTGTGTCGTCTGAAATGTGTCTGTGTGTCGCATGAAGTGTGTCTGTCTGTATTGTATATGTGTGTCGTCTGTAGTGTGTCTGTGTATAGTCTGTAGTGTATCTGTAAGTAGTCTGTAGTGTGTCTTAGTGTTGCCTAGTTTGTCTGTGTGTATCATGCAGTGTGTCTGTGCGTAGTCTAGTTTGTCTGTGTATAGTATGTAGTTTGTCTGTGTGTGTGTGTGCATTGTGTAGTCTGTAGTGTGACTGCGGTGTGTCTGTGTGTGTGTGTATTGTGTCCGTGTGTAGTCTGTAGTGTGTCCGTTGTGTACTCTGTAGTTTGTCTGTGTGTAGTCTGTATTGTGTCTGTGTGTAGTCTGTAGTGTGTCTGTATGTAGTCTGTAATATGTCTGTGTGTAGTCTAATTTGTCTGTGTGGAGTCTGTATTGTGTCTGTGTGTAGTCTGTACTGTCTGTGTGTAGTCTGTATTGTGTCTGTGTGTAGTCTGTAGTGTGTCTGTGTGTAGTATGTATTGTGTCTGTGTGGAGTCTGTAGTGTGTCTGTGTGTAGTCTGTAGTGTGTCTGTGTGTAGTCTGTAGTGTGTCTGTGTGTAGTCTGTTGTGTGTCTGTGTGTAGTCTGTATCGTTTCTGTGTGGAGTCTGTAGTGTGTCCGATGTGTAGTTTGTATTATGTCTATGTGTAGCCTGTAGTGTGTCTGTATGTAGTCTGTAATATGTCTGTGTGTAGTCTGTATCGTTTCTGTGTGGAGTCTGTAGTCTGTCCGATGTGTAGTTTGTATTATGTCTATGTGTAGCCTGTAGTGTGTCTGTATGTAGTCTGTAATATGTCTGTGTGTAGTCTAATTTGTCTGTGTCGAGTCTGTATTGTGTCTGTGTGTAGTCTGTAGTGTGTCTGTGTGTAGTATGTATTGTGTCTGTGTGTAGTCTGTAGTGTGTCTGTATGTAGTCTGTAATATGTCTGTGTGGAGTCTGTAGTGTGTCTGTGTGTAGTCTGTACTGTCTGTGTGGAGTCTGTAGTGTGTCTGTGTGTAGCCTGTAGTGTGTCTGTATGTAGTCTGTAATATGTCTGTGTGTAGTCTGTATCGTTTCTGTGTGGAGTCTGTAGTGTGTCTGTGTGGAGTCTGTAGTGTCGCCTGTAGTGTGTCTGTAGTGTCGCCTGAAGTGTGTCTGTGTGGAGTCTGTAGTGTGTCTGTGTGGAGTCTGTAGTGTGTCTGTGTGGAGTCTGTAGTGTGTCTATGTGTAGCCTGTAGTGTGTCTGTAGTGTCGCCTGTAGTGTGTCTGTGAGGAGTCTGTAGTGTGTCTGTGTGGAGTCTGTAGTGTGTCTGTGTGGAGTCTGTAGTGTGTCTATGTGTAGCCTGTAGTGTGTCTGTATGTAGTCTGTAATATGTCTGTGTGTAGTCTGTATCATTTCTGTGTGGAGTCTGTTGTGTGTCTGTGTGGAGTCTGTAGTGTCGCCTGTAGTGTGTCTGTAGTGTCGCCTGTAGTGTGTCTGTGTGGAGTCTGTAGTGTGTCTGTGTGTAGTCTGTAGTGTGTCTGTGTGTAGTCTGTATCGTTTCTGTGTGGAGTCTGTAGTGTGTCTGTGTGGAGTCTGTAGTGTTGCCTGTAGTGTGTCTGTAGTGTCGCCTGTAGTGTGTCTGTGTGGAGTCTGTAGTGTGTCTGTGTGGAGTCTGTAGTGTGTCTGTGTGGAGTCTGTAGTGTGTCTATGTGTAGCCTGTAGTGTCTGTAGTGTCGCCTGTAGTGTGTCTGTGTGGAGTCTGTAGTGTGTCTGTGTGGAGTCTGTAGTGTGTCTGTGTGGAGTCTGTAGTGTGTCTATGTGTAGCCTGTAGTGTGTCTGTATGTAGTCTATAATATGTCTGTGTGGAGTCTGTATCGTTTCTGTGTGGAGTCTGTAGTGTGTCTGTGTGGAGTCTGTAGTGTGTCTGTGTGGAGTCTGTAGTGTGTCTGTGTGTAGCCTGTAGTGTGTCTGTGTGGAGTCTGTAGTGTGTCTGTGTGTAGTCTGTAGTGTGTCTGTCTGTGTGTAGTCTGTAGTGTGTCTGTGTGGAGTCTGTAGTGTGTCTGTGTGTAGCCTGTAGTGTGTCCGTTGTGTCGCCTGTAGTGTGTCTGTGTGGAGTCTGTAGTGTGTCTGTGTGTAGTCTGTAGTGTGTCTGTGTGTAGCCTGTAGTGTGTCTGTGTGGAGTCTGTAGTGTGTCTATGTGTAGCCTGTAGTGTGTCTGTGTGTAGTCTGTAATATGTCTGTGTGTAGTCTGTATCGTTTCTGTGTGGAGTCTGTAGTGTGTATGTGTGTAGTCTGTAGTGTGTCTGTGTGGAGTCTGTAGTGTGTCTGTGTGGAGTCTGTAGTGTGTCTGTAGTGTCGCCTGTAGTGTGTCTAGTGTCGCCTGTAGTGTGTCTGTGTGGAGTCTGTAGTGTGTCTGTGCGGAGTTTGTAGTATGTCTGTGTGTGTAGAGTACCTGTTAACTGTATGATGTGTTTAGCGATTACACAGTTTGTAATGTGTGTTTTGTCAGTAGTGTATCTGTGTGCAGTGTGCGTTTAGTATGTCTCATTCTGTGGTCAGCCGTGAACCTGTTGTGCGCCGTGTGTTGGGTAATGTGAGTGAGGTATGTCCTTGATCTATCTTTGGACAAATCCCCGACTCGTAGTTGAAGACTCTGGCAGGATTCACGAGTAGAGATATGTTGTTGAAATAGCAAGATTCCCAATCTGTCCGCACATTGGATTCGAAACCACAGTCAGCAGATCCTGGTAATGCAAAGAGTCTCAACCCTGCATAGCGGGCTTATGCGCATAGAACCTTAAGCCATTCATCTCTTGCGGTGTTTGAATGTCTGTAGCATATTAGAATTGTATATACCTTCGTGTTTGATATATGTAGCAGGCTAGGTGTGGCTATGCTAGCATTCACCCGCGGTCACACTTGCACTACGCACGTGTTCTACACCAGCGAGCGCCACATGGTGATACGAAGCTAGTTTGTTGGCGTGGACCTATCATGCAGTGTTATTATAGGACATAGGATGTACACAGTTTAGACTTCGTGCAGACACATTGTCAGACTGATTCAGCTTCCACGAAACCCCCATGCAGGATGACCTTTCACAATAACACTATTGAAATTTTAATTAGTTATGTGCCCTTTACGCGCCGGCTATTCATATTTCAACTTTGTCTTTGTCACGTTTAGAGTTCGGCAAAAAGTGAGGAAATCCCGAGCAACACAGAGTCAAACAGTACAGCTATACAGAGCGTGGTGGCCAGAGCACTCGTACAGTCAATTTGTGTCCCCGGCAATTAGGCACGTGCAAATGCCATTTATAACGGTGTTCTCTACAGACGAGGTGGTGGCCACGAGGAGCACGGACATAATGAGGCAATCCGGGCATTGTAAATAAAGACCATATAGCGGTATATGAAATATTGCCTTTAAAAACTGGTATTAAATTACGGGCAAGCGCCATTGTGCGTTAACGGGCCTTTGATATTTGTTAATGAATATTGCGAAAACAAAGCTTAGGAATTCCAGTGCTTTGATCCTACGATCGTGGTGTTATTCTATTAGGAGAAATCTTCCTCCTAACGAGTTCAACGTAAGTGCTATGAGAAACTACTGGAAATTATTATCGGGAAACGACTAACGTGTTTTTACACTCGGTCCTGTTATTCAGTTTTGTGTTTGAGGTAATAGGTGTTGGAGTTGCAGGGATGGAAATGGCGCTGAAGGGCTTCCAACACATCAGTGTGTGAGCGAGGCATTTAGATAGACTGGCAATGTCACCTATTCGGGGCAACTGGGCGAATACAACCATTGGAGTAGCCTCAGACGAGGATTCCTCTAAAACAGGACTGTCATCCTATATGTCATTGGATTTTCTGGTCCAGACTCCATCACTGGATTGACTGGTCCAGACCCGATTGTATACGGGCCGCTTTTCATGCAAGTTATGTGACTGGCGGGTGTTACCGACAGAGCAGGGCATGTGTACCCTTGTTGCGGACGCCTGGTGTCGTCGCTAATTTTCAGTGATCCAATCATATTTGAATAACGTATACAGGCATAACAGGATGAAACGACAACTGTTCGGACAAAGCACAACTCACACACACACGCACAGGCGCACGCGCACACCCCCGCACCCCCCCCCCCCCCCCCCCCACACACACACCGACACCCACCCCCCCACCCCCCCACACACACACACACACACACACACACACACACACACACACACACACACACACACACACACAATCCCACACACACACCCACACCCACACCCACACCCACACATACACACACCACTCACACACACCACTCACACACGCACATTGAATTTAAGCATACTGAATATATGAACCATCAGAAAATTAAAATGTATTTGGTTGTTGTTTGTCGCACTCGGCAATATTCCAGCTATGTAAATATTCGAGTCTGGACGGAACGATCCAGTGATTGATATTGCGACTAACGACTCACGCCGTAGGGGTGCAATTACACTCATTCACCTAAATCATCGAGCTTGACCAACAGGATCCATTAGAACGCTTCTTGCGACCAACCAAGTTTGCCGGGACCCATTTCACCCTGAATTCCCATAGGGTAGACGTGTTAGAGGTGGTCTTGTACACAAAGTCTAAACATATTACAACACTTATTACTAACAGATTTAGGGACACGAATTGCCGCATCACAAAATGTACCCCTCTGTTTCAACACTGTATCCGCCCTTGGGGAGACCTTTGAAGTGGTTTTACTTCCACGCCAG